GGATAGGAAAAATCACAGAGGACTCTGCACCATCTCAAAACTAAGGTTCTACTCACTGAATGAGGGAATTGTAGTAGAATAAAATAATAGCCAATTTGAGTAAGTCTCTGATTGGTCACATCAAGATTATTTTGATTATCAAAATGATTAAAAATGTCATATGTTATAATCTATTGTATAATGTTTCATCTTTTTTGTTAAAATTTTTAATTTTTATTGTTTTTATTTCTTATTGCTTTTCTTTACATTTAAATGACTTTATTGTTTTATTTATCTTCTCTTCCACTTTTATTGGATTTTATCTCACTTCTGATAAGTGAATCCAAATAGGATAAAAATAAACAACAATAAAATAAAGAAGACAATTCAGGATATGAAAGAAAATTTTAATGAACAAGAATTCTGAAGACAAGCTAAGCAGAAACTTTGGAAATAAGAAGCTCAATAGGTCAAATAAAAAATTTAGTCGAAAGCCTCACCAGCAGTCTAGATCAAGCAGAATTAAAAAAGGGAAAGAAAGGTTCTAAAATCATTCTATTAAGTCATTTTTACTCTGATAGGAAAATCAGATGAAGACAACAAAAAATGAAAACTACAGATCAATATCTTTGTTGAACACTGATACAAAATCTTAATTAGAACTATTGCAAACAGAAGTCAACAACACACTTAAAAGATGATTCACCAAGATAAAATTAGTTTCATTCCAAGATTCAAGGAAGGTTCCATATATGGAAATCAGTAAATGAAATATATTAAATAAATATAATCAGAATAAAAAACACAGGATCTTCTCAATAGATTCAGAAAAAAATATCCTGTGACAAAATTCAACATTACTTCATGGGAAAACATTAGAGAGATTAGGTATTTGTGGATCTTTAATATAAAATTAAGGGTGTATACAACAAACTCATAGTAAATCATATACTGAATAGGGAAAAATACAATATTTCCTTTAAGATCATGAATGAGATAAAGGTGCTTATTCCCACTACTCTTATTCAATATAGTACTTGAGATTTTGGCCAGAGTCATTGTGTAAAAGAAGGAAATAAAAGAGATACAAATAGGAAAAGAAGAAGTCAAATGAACCATATTTGCCGATGATGTGATCCTAAGCTGTACTACAGAATACTTTTAGGTCTGCTAAAGAAATTCAACAAAATGGTGGGATGAAAAAAAAATCAACATACAAAAATCAGTATCTTTTTATATGTGAATAATGAACTCACTGAGAGAAATCTAGGAATAACCCTAAGCAGGGAGGTGAAAAACTCTACAATAAAATGTACAGATTACTGAAGAGGTAAATTGTGGAAAACACAAGAAAATGGAAGGACCTGTTTTCATGGATCAGTTGAATTAATATTGTTAAAAATGGTCATATTATGAAAAGGATTCAACAAATTCAATTAAATCCTTACCAAATTATCAATGACATTCTTCACAGAACTTAAAAGAATGATTCCAAAATTTATATGGAAGCACAAAAAAACCAAGATAGCCAAAGCAACCCTGAAGAGAAAGAGAAGTGGTGAAGTAATACAATATCTGATTTCAAAATATACTACAAAAATGTAGTAAAAAATAAAAACCACATGGTACATGCACAAAAATAGACATATAAACCAAAGGAACAGATTTGAGCATAACGAAAAGTTGTTTTTCACAAATAAAACCATCTGTTTATTCACAAAGACATATGTTGAACAAAAGATAATATCCTAAGAAATAGTGCTAAGAGAACTGGATGTCTTTTTGTGAAGATTAAACTAGATTTCTATCTCTGACCTGGTAAAAATTCAACTCAAAATGGATCAAACATCTTGGTATATAATATGAAACTATGGGACTGATAGAAAATAAAGCAGGGGAAAACATTTGAAGTCATAGGCACAAGCAATGATTTCATGAATAGATACATGCAATGATTTTAAGAATGATTTGAAGTAGCACAGTAAATAATAGCAAGAATCAACTAATGGAACTATATCAAATTTAAGAGCTTTTGCACAGTAAAAGAAAGAACAGAGTAAGAGCCAGAGTACAGAATGGGAAAATAGCTTTGCTAGCTAATCTTTCAACAGAGGATTAATCTCAAGAATATAAAAAGAACCTCAAAACATGACACCACCACCCTCAAAGAATCCAATCAATAAATGGGGAAAGGAAGACACATTTATCAAAAGAAGAAGTAAAAGAATGTCAGTAAGTGTAAGAAAAAAATGTTCAATATCTTTACCCATCAGAGAAATCCAAATCAAAACTACATTTGGGTTCAGTTTCATCCCAGGCACAATGGCTATTGTCAAGAGTACAAAACAACACATGCTGGTGAAGATAGGTGGCACTTCTACACAATTAGATGGAATGTAAATTGGTACCAATTAGGTTGATTGCCTTTTTGAATGATTACAGATCATCTTTGTGAAAGTTCCTGATCATTAATTTTTTCTTACTAAGTTGTACTACTTTTTAATAGGCTTGTGATGATCATACGTGTTGCAAATATGCCCGCTCACCATATATTTTACCTTAGTGGGTCTTCAGGTAGGGTCATTCTGCTTTGATTCTTTCCCATCAGCTATTTTTAGATATGGTTAAACACACTTGTGTTACTTTCCTGGAAGACACAACAAAATAATACACCATGGCATTCCAACCTAACCAGAGAAGCTGACAGGGTAGCTCCTTTCTGCACCATGCCAGCTACTCAGAATGAAGAAGGTCATGGAAAATTAGGGTTATCTTAGATGCCAGGCTAGAAAAGTCATAGTGACAAAAGACTATGTTACACTAGAAATATGTCTTAGGAAGTATGAACATAAAAGGTTTGAAAGGCAATTTTGTGCCTTGATTTGTATTTTGAAGAAATGAACCAAACAACAGAGTATGATTTTGTGTGGTAGGATCTTTTTATTAGAAAATAAACAGACTCTTTTTTATTTTTTTCTAAAAATAATGTAATGCTGATTAGAAGATGTATATAGTCCAGGTGCACTAAATTTCCTCTAGAAAATGCCTATTTTGTTCTCCCAAATAATTTATTCATCAAAGATCTCTTCAGTTATCTTTGTTCATTTGAACTACACATTACAGTGATTTTTATTTCAAAACAGTTTTTGTTTTGCTCTCACTTCCTCTTTTTAACAGCAAATGATATGCCCTACATCAGAAAGGGGATTGCCACATTGTTTTAGTTTAATTGCAAATGATGCGAATAAATTTAGATTTTTTAAACTCTGTACAATTCGTTAGTTTTCATAAAGAAATGAAAACATGCTGGTGTATCAAAACAATGGGCTTATTTTGTTGACCAATGTAAATTGATGACTCCTGTACTGTGTCTCATTTGGAAACCAATGAAAAACTTTTGGCACAATAGAATGATCTAGGTATAGCCAGGTATGGGGCCATACACATGCAATCCAAGCACTTTGGGAGGCTGAGGCAAGAGAATCACAGGATGAGCCCAGCCTGGGCAATTTAGTGACTTAGTGAGAACCTGTCTCAAAATATCACTAGTAACACACACACACACACACACACACAAATAAATAAAGTAAAATATACTAAAGAAAAACCTAGGTCTAACTAGCAAAACTCTGTCTAGACAGTTCTCATAGGAAGTGGTGGATCACTTAGATGATCAGCTGTATTTTACCATGAGCAGCTAAAGCTAATTGTAGTGGCTTGATATTGTTATTTCACAGTAGTACTCTAAGAGAATTTCTTGAGTTCTAGGATTCAGTTGATCCAGTGTCCCTGTGCCAGCAGCACAGAGGGCCCAGTCCAAATCTCAGAAACTCCCCAGAACACTCACAAGGGCCCCAGGCAACTGCGCGGCTCACATAGGGTGGTGGTGTTATTGGTTGCTGAAGTGTCCAGGGGTTTAAGGCTCTTGCTCTTCCAGTCAAACAGTTGGATGGGACATTTGTTGATCTTGAAAATTCAGTGTTTATTTAAAGTGAAAGAAAAAGAAGTGAAGAAAAAGTGAAGCACGAAAAGAAGTAAGAGAAGTGAAGATATGTGTGGCATACAGGTCGGACCACTGCAAGAGCAAGAGGCTGTAATCTCCCAAAGTCAGTGGTCCCTCTCTTTTATATCCTTTTCTATCATCAGATCCTGGCTGTGATTTGGTGGGTCTCCATGATTACCAAGTTGTGACCTATTGTCCAGCCTCCTTGCCATCCTCTAATTGCGTACCTCAGTGGGGAATTACCCCAAGGACTCAATATGAAAACCACAGCACACATACCATTGATGTTTTGTTTTCCCATCTCTACACCTCCCTGAATCCTCAGGCTGGGGCACCTGGAGTTCTGTAGTCACTGTTAGGGCACCTTCAAGTGTCTTGATTTTGTTTTCTGTGATTCTGGATCCCTACTGAAAGTCAGAGGTAATTGCCTTTGAGGATGAAGATGTCATGCTTTCTACATATTTATTCTGGGTGTCAGCCCCTCAAAAGAAGGGTTAGATACTACAAGAAGGGAACAAGAATGAGAAAACTTTGTCATAATTTGGATCCTTTATACCTTTTGCATATTTATAAGGCCCATCTAATTCCACTGTGATACAGAGTCAACAAAAATGAAGTAAAAATAATTTCAGAGTTCTCAAAATGATAAACACATGTTGGCATTAACTCTGCAGTTCTTCACCTTGGGAACATAATCACTGTCTTTAAAGGTTTGCTCAGTTCTGGGACAGGGCTTTTATTTTTCCATAATTGTTTCTTGCTAGACAGGGAAGAGTTCTGTGAGTGGGGTTTCCCCAAGCCCCTGCACATTTCTTCCACAGCTCAATATCTTCCCTCAGAATTAGTGCCCCACTCAGGAGATCTGCTCCACAGCCCTCAAAGTCTTCTCTGGGCAGGCTGGAACAGAAAGGAGGCTCCTTGTTTACCTCATCCCATTTTTCCCATCTGTACATCTCCTCTTGTAGGAAGCCAGATGTCCTTGGCTCCACTAGAGAAAATTTGAGAGATTCTGTCACAACTAAAACCTTTGACAGTTCAGTCTGTGAGCCAGATGCAGCTGGGCCTTGAGGTGCTGAAGGGGTTTTTGTTGCAGTCTGTAGCACTGTGTGGGTGGAGAGCTGCTATTCTGTTGACAGTAATAGGTTGCAGCATCTTCAGCCTCCACGTTGCTGATTATGAGAGAGTAGGAGGTCCCAGACCCACTTCCACTGAAGCGAGCTGGGACTCCTGAGGCCAGGTTTGATGTTCTATAAACTAGGAGCTTTGGAGAGGCTCCCGGCTTTTGTTGGTACCAGTGCAAGTAGTTGGTGCTTACACTGGAGCTGGCTGTGCAGGTGATGGTGACCTTGTCCCCTGGGGAAGCAGCCAGGGATGCTGGAGACTGGGTGAGCACAATTTGTCCATTGGACACTATGGTCATGTAGGAGAAATGAAAAGAGATAGAAGTTAGTACAAATAGAGACATGAGAATGTCTTCATACCACACAATATGCAGAAACAACAACCAAAACACCTGCCTTAATCTCAAATTCCTATGGCAAAAATGGTGCTCAGTTTTGAGCTTCCTTTCTTACCTGTGACACTGAGCAACAGAAAGCTGAGAATTTGAGTCTGAAAATCCATTGTCTTTTCTGAGCTCTACTTCAGGCTCAATAGACCTCTTAAGATCACCCGTTAAAAAGAACTCTGAACAGTTTGTGGTTTCTGAGGAAGTGATATGCAAATCAGTAGGGTGTAGGAACACCCTGGCTTATATTCCCATGAGGTGCTTCAACCTTTTTATAAAAATTAGAAATTGTTATAGCAGAGGGATGTGTTTGAATATAGCAGAGGGATGGTCTAGAATATTATCTATGTATTTCTATGATGGTATGCTAATTTGACCAGGCTAGCAAGGAAAGTTCTGCTGGACAGTATATGAGGTGAATTTTCTCTGAATAAATACCTGATAAGGATGACTATTTGAAATTTCTATCAGAAAAATCCCAACCTGAACAGATCTGCCTCCCCTTTCTCTGGGCCCTGCTCAACTGAGACTTTGCTCATCCATCATAGTCTCTTCCAATAATTGGGTATCTATAAGGTATTGGGAAACTGTCACCCTACCATGTGATCTGGAAAGTTCAAATCCTCAAGGATGTTTACACAAAGCTCAATCACACTTTCCAACTGGAGAAGAGAAACCACCAGAAATGCAGGCAAAATAAATATTTCTGTCTGAGACTGAAGGAACCTCAGCTATTGGCTCTTCATCAATCTCAACTTCTCTGGTACTCTTCCCCAAGCTAGTTTTCACAGGAACCTGGGCTTTAAAGATCTCAAAGACATACTCATATTACATAAGTACAAATTAAGTTCATAATTGCTTTAGTCACAATATTAACAATGTTCCTTTACTGGAGTGTTTAAGAAGATATCATTTTTTAATTTGGCAGTGCTGGAGGATATTTTTCAAATAAGGTATATTTTTCTTATTAAAGACTGAGTGACACTAGTGGAAGCAGATGATTTAGGTAAGAATTTGATCAAGACAAGATCTTCCAAAAGATGCTTGTAATATAAGCCCTACCCTAAAAATAAGCCTCATTTAAGATCATTAGCCAGACAGCCACATTTAGTACATCTGTTGCAACACATACAGATATATTGAATAGTAAAATAATAATATTAATATGTAATTAAATACAAATAAATAATATTATTGACATTAATACTTAAAATAAATAATAATATAAATTATAATTAAGAATTTGTAAATACCCAAGCTAGTGCCTTTGGACAAGAAGATGTAAATTTCTATGTAAGCAGATGAACTCCAGACTTACAAATGGATGACCAATCAGAGTACAGGCACAACATATGAATAACATGTGCAGTTGAAAACAAATGGACATGGTTATATCTAATATGAATCTTCGAAATTCAATTGTCATGTGTTGTAGTGATGCATTATGAGCAGGCTACATGGACAAGAAGTGCTCATTTAAGGGGTGATCTGTTGATGGACATGAGAGATTGAGGCCAATGGTTCTAGAGGAAATGGAATTGCAAGAAATACAGGCCAGAATTGGGGTCTGGAGTGTTGTGACAATGTTCCAGAAGAAGATGACAAGGCTATATTTGAATAAATGTATATTTTTGTACATGAATAAATTATACATGAAAAAATAAGACATGCCTTGATTATAAGCCCTATTGCATCTTCTAGAGCAAAAGTTAATATGACAATCTTATTTTCAGGGAAATATGGTAGAAATCTTGAAAAAAACCTCAAAAAGCAATCCATTTATATAAAATATAGAATAATGTACCCCAACAAAATGGAGTTTATCTAATTATGCAGGGCTGATTGTCTATTTGAAAATCAACTAGCATAATTCACTGTATAAAAAGATTAAGAAAAAATACCATTTGGAGAACTATTAGAACATTGAATCAAGTATGATATAAGACAAGGAATCTGAATTGCAAATGTAGAACATATGCAAAAATATAAAAGAGATTAATCATGGATTACAACTTTGCAAAGCATATTCTTATGGTATCTTATTTAATTGCTTTCATCATCAGAGAAATGGTGTCTAATTTGCATGCAGTTTTACATGTAAGTAAACTGAGGCATAGAAAATACTTTGAATTTAATTTTTTAGCAGCAATATGTTTAGAACCCTAATTGAACTCATACTCTTTTCTTTCAAACCAACATTATTTATGGGTGACTATTGGCTGAAACTTAGAATAGTGAGTCTTGTGGAAAACATGTGCAATCTAGATATCAGCTGGTCTTAAGACTGTTCCCTAACTTAGAATGAGAGAATCAATATTTTAATAGTATAGTAAAGGATTCTTCTGTTGCCTAATGTACTAGTCAGCAAACATGCATTCAAGGCCACCCCTACTTTTCCAAAAGATTACAAAACAACAATATGGCCTAATACCATTTTAACATTTTAATTACTTAGAACAATGCACCACACATGGTATACTCACAATAAATAAAATGTTTAAGTGGCAAAACAGGAAAGTAAAGTCAGAAAACATGAGTTTAGAAAACTTCCAAATGATTTAAAATCTGTGGATGATCTGGGATTTACAGGGCACAGTCACAGGGATAGTGCTCATGTGTACAGAGTTAATAGTGTGATCTGTAGAAAGGGACAATGAGCACCTTGGCCTGTACAGAGGAGACCAAGGATGGGGATGTGGGATGTGAGAATGGTAGGTAGAAAATAGGTGTAATATAGATGCCTAAATAGAAGTATAGAATCCAGTTCCATAACAAAGGCAACAGGAAAAATGCAGGAAGTCAGAACGGAAGGTGCTGACTAGAAGATCCTAGCTGGTCAGTGGATGAGAGAGAAGCAGATTTAGGTCTGATGGAAAAGAGAGTGAAAATAAGGGACTGAGAATATGGGATAGATCCCCAAGTGAGAGGGTGAAGGGGGCAAGGTGATGGACAGGATCAAGATGTAAAAAGCACATGGATCAATTTCCCAAGATGGATGGCAAAGAGAGAAAGAAAGGGGGGGGGGGAGAAAGAAAAAGAAAGGAAGAAAGGAAAGAAAGAAAGAAAGAAAGAAAGAAAAGAAAAATAAAACAAAAATAAAACAGGGAAGTTCAGTGTCATCAGGTACAGGGAAGCAGTGATTAAGCTGTCAGGGGATGTGTACACTGGCCCCTTCTCCAAAAGATGCAGTTGAAGCCTCAGTTTTCTCAATAATGTAAATCTATCTGTAGGCAAAACACAGTCTCAGTGATGCAAAAATTCCTGAACATGGTAGCACAAGGTCCATGACAGATGATTAAAGAGGCATCATTTCATGGTTCCTTGTACAAAAGGCTCAGGGAAGGTTGCTCTTAATCTTCCCTTGAGACCTTCACATTCCTTCATGATTTCGGTGGAGACATTGCCTGTCTTACACATGAGAGAGAAACAGGGGTGAGTGGGCAGGAAGTACCTGGTGCAGCAAAGACTCATTCACCCATGACCTGGGGTGGTTTGTGTCCCAGGCTGAAGCACTGTGGGAGGAGCACTATAACCCTGCTGACAGTAATAATCTGCCACATCTTCAGGCTGGAGGTTGCTGATGGTGAGAGTGAAATCCATCCCAGACCCACTACCAGTGAACCGGTCAGGGACTCCAGATACCTGGGTAGATGCCCAGGAAATGAGCAGTTTGGGAGACTGTCCTGGTTTCTGCTGGTACCAGGACAAGTAGTTCTTCTGGTTGGAGCTTGATAAAAGACTCTGACTGGACTTGCAGCTGATGGTGGTGCTCTCTCCTGCTGACACAGCCAGGGATCCTGGAGACTGAGTCATTATGATGTCTCCACAGATACCTGTAATTAGGAATTTACATTGCATTACTAATATATTAAAAATCAGAAGTGTTTAGTTTCTTATTTACCAAAAAATAAGAAAGGTTTAAACAATTTTTTTCCTTCCACCTGAAAATGTCATTGTTCACTTTTAAAAAATTACTTTTTTAAACCTCGCACCTGAGACCCAGAGTACCAGGAAGAGGAGGAATTGGGACTGTGACTCCATCCTGTCTCAGTTCAGCTGTCTGAGGTGCTCAGCCCTGTCCATCTCCAGAGAAACCCTATAAATAGAGCTCTCAGCAGCCAGCCTTGACCTCAGGAGCCTATGCAAAGCGTCAGAGATTGTGAAAGCTAAAGAAGGAGCACGTGGTGAGTGAGCCATGACATTAAATAAGTGAAAGAGAACTCAAACATGCTATTACCCAGGAAATACAGTTACCGTATATGCTTGGAAATGTCAAGAAATAATCTTCAAACTATAATTTTCAACAATTTTCAGCAAAATTTCCAAATCTCTTACAAAACTGCTAAGTTAAAACAATAAGTACATTCACTTGATCCTTTGTTATGTCAGCATATAACTTCAAATTTTTATTGAAACATATATGTATGGTATCAATATATGGAGTATATTTATGTCACTGGACAGAATTAGGAGAATACACAGTTAGTATCTCTAACTCAGGTTATGTTTTCAATTTTAAATACACGTTTGATGTTCCTCTTGAACATCTGTCTCCCAGGCATCTCAATATGTCCAAACCAGCCCTCTGGTGTTTCCCTCATCTCAAAACACATGCTCATGAAATATTACCAGTTACTTAAGAATCATCTTGTCACTACTCTTTAAGGAACATCTCAAATTCACTGAAATCTCTGTCACTAACAGATCTAAGATGCCGCAGAGCCTCCTGGAGGTTGTAGGTGAAATAACTGGGCCTCCCAAATTCTCCTAGGGCTATTCTTTCATTTAACTGAAAACAAAATTAAAAAATATTTGTGAAATTATCTTAGTTACTTTTCTCGTTGCACAGACAAAATACTCAACACCAAAAGTTAAAGGAGGAAAAGTTCATTTAGTTCACAGTTTGTAGAGGTTTCAGTTCATAATCGGCTGGCTCCAAGGCATGGTGGTGTGGCAGACAGGCATCACAGAGGAGAAACAGTTCATGGCAGGCAGGCAGAAGGCAGCAAAAAAAGCAAGAGATGACCACATTTTTCTATCTCTTATATTTTATCCAGGCTACTTAAGGCAGGTAGCATTCACACCCTTACTTCTAGTGTCCATGACTCTAGCATTGCACCATGAATCAAACCCAGCATCACACAATATAGATCAAGCCACCTCTGAAAAAGCCCCACCCATGATTGCATGAGGCTTTGGGGGTACACCTAGACACAAGCCATAACAGAAATTATACAAATAACAGGATAATTATTTGTATACAGCGGTACAAAATGAAGAGTATCAGTGCCAGAACTGTCTTACCAGAAGACATTTTGAAGAAACTGTTCAGAACACCTGCCCTCATATAACTTCCATATTAATGGAAGGGACATATAATAAATAAATAAATAAATAAATAAATAAATAAATAAATAAATAAATAAAACTTCTGCAGCTACTCCTACCTTGCTCCATCGGACTCTTTCCCCAGGAGTGCTTCTATTACTCAGGGCAAGTGGGGCAATGGGTGTCCAGGTCCATTCAGTGTCTCCTCCTCCCTCAACATGAACAGAGTCACAGGAAGAGGGAGCAAGGTTATGCCTTTGAACATTTGTGTTTCCTTGGAAAATAAACTCAAATACAGACTCATTAATATTCAGTTACTCAACAATATTTTGATCATATAATTGATCTTTCAATCCATCATGTTCCTACAGCTTGAAACCACCCATCATATTATTGAGTAACAAATTGATACTATATCTGAAAACAAACTGGAACCACTATTAGCAGAGTACCTTTTATTATGATTAGTATTTTTATCCACTGAGACTCACTATTTCTGCTTTACTCTTGCCATCTTTTTCTTAAAACATGAAGGTTGTGTGTGGGGGGAATGAAGAAAAGTTTAATTTTTCATTATGTCCCTTAGATTTAGTGTTCCTTCTCCATGTAGCTTGCACTTTCCTTCTGCATGCCTTAACTCAGAGCTCTAATTATAGATGAGAGACTGAATATTTATTTGTCTACTCTCATCCAAAACAACTCTTTTTCTCTCTCCACATCTCTCAAGTGCTATTTGATAGACAGCTTGATTTGGTGAATACTTATTCTAAGCCAATCCCAGAGAGGAAATATAAGACAGAAATTTCACCTTTCAGAGAGAACATCTCCTTGGCCACAGTGGTCTCTGATGATCTGATATGTTTGAGACTACTTGAGCTCATCTACCTGATTTTATGCTCAAAATTCCTTCTCCAATATGAGCAAAGAGTGGCATATATCAACAAGTAGTACATAGCAACAGGATTTATTAGTATATATTCTAAAGCATTTCTTAGTAGCTAATGAGCACAATGCAAGGCAGAGTGGACAAGTACAAAAACTTGGATTTTGGTGCTTAATTTGAGTAACTAGATCAAGCATCCCATTAAAATTCCTCTTTTAGATACTTCACTGTAAGAACCAAAATCTCCGTACCTTCGTTATGCGGTATAGGTTGAGATTTTTGCTTATTGCTGCAGGAAGTTTTCCAAATGATACTGATGTCTTATCTGATCTAATTTTTTATATGAAAAGACATTTTATTACTTTACAATTACCACAGTGTCAGAGTGTATTTTCTCCAATGGCAAAGGAGGCACAAGATAACATTTCTCTGATTCTTCCAAGAACCTCAATATCATCTGTCTTTTGGAGGATTCAGTTTCACACGATGTATGTGATACAGCCCATGAGGCTACCAACGATGCTTGGTGGTGAAGAACATTTTACTAAGTTGTTCTATCATGGGTCCTTGCTCAAGGCATTCACTTTTTTCTTCTAATCTGGTTTTCAGCATGTGATTATGTGTTTCTTCATTATTATGGACAGGGTCTGGTTGAGGGATGGGTCTTGTGTGTTCATATGGAATGTCCACAGAAGGGTGGTAACATACTATTGTCCTGCCATTAGATGTCAAAGCAAGCTCTACTTTGCAATTATAGTCTTCTGGAAGAGAAGAATACGTAGATTTACAACAAACACAAGATAAAGCTCCATTTTGGATTGGAAATAAATGCTTCAAGATAGCTCTCTTTGATATCGCCCATTTTACTGCTGCTGCAGCTGCCACGATATATAAATAATCTTATCAGGGGGAAACCACCTTTACAATTTGTTTCTAGGCACACCAATTTTCATTCCTTGAGAGCTACTCATGGCTGGACCACCATCTTGCCCACATTCTGATCTAATTTTTTAATGAAATTGGAGACACCAAAATTTTGTTTATCCTACAAAACCAAAAAATAAGAAACATAAGATTTATTGTTTAAAATTATATAGTATCAACATGGAGAACAATGAAATCTACAGGCTAATATGTACACCAGATTTACTTTTTCATAATATTAAGATTATATACATTAAACACAAAACTACTTCATTTGAAGTATAAATTAAAACAGTGTAGTTGCAATTTTGAGATGGAACATGATTTAATTAATGAATGAGTACAGGACACAGCATCACAAGAAACACACACACACACACACACACAGCAACAGACACAATTTGTAATACAAATAATAGCAAGATTGGGATTAGGAATGGCCCATATATTTTATTAGTCATATTTGTTCATATGCATTTTACTTTTTTTCTTCATCATAAATTATATCTTTTTTTCCTCTTAAATAGGAAAAATGTTGCTTTGAGTGAAGAACTCTAAAAGACATTTGAAAATGTCATTTGATATCATAAGGAACTGGATTTACTTTTTCCTCATGATTATGTTTAACTACTTCATCTTTCCAACATATTATTTTGCTGACATAACATGGTACTACAAGGTCAGAAATTTTCTTTCTCATAATTCAAGAGGTTAAAAGCTAGAAAGCTCAGCAGGATTGATCTAATGGGCCTCTCTCAATGCCTTTGCAATGATCATCTTTGTACATCTCCACTTAACCTTTCTCTTGGTTGCTATGATTTATTTATTTTTTTTACTAAGCACACCCATCATATTGGATTAAGCTTCAACCAAATAAATGCACTTTACATTAAACCACATTAAGCATTCTGTCTCCAAATTATTTAAACAGGTACTGTTACACTTCTTATGTGTGGATGTTTATATAATAGTCCACAAGAGGCAAAACTATCAAGAAGCAATGCTCTCTTATCCCCCCCTGCACCCTGCCAGTTGCTTCATGAGCTCCATCTCATTACTTAGTGATGTTCGCTTTGGCTTTGGCTGTGGGTAATGGTGGTACCTGCTAGAATTCTCTGGCACAGTTACTTTCCCCCTTCACAACTGACAAAGATCTGTGGAGAAGTAGTGTGATACTTTCTGAATATCTCATTTTTCATTAAATAACAATATTTATTCATGGATTCACTTTTAATTTGATGGGTTATAATATATCATTATTAATTATTTTGATATTCACAATAATCCAGATTTGACCACTCATGTCTCATTCAGATTGGCTTCTATTGAGCTACGCTAGGGCCTCCTTATTCTCTGAGTATTTTCTGAATTTTAATCTGGTCCAGGCTTGTTTTGTATTTTCATCATCATAGAGTCAGAAACAGACATTTCTCTAAGGTTTAATGGTTCCTTTTAGTGGTGAATAATGGCATTCAGAAACTGTGTGTGCTTTCTGGGCCTGGAGGGTCCTTCCCTCCAGGTTAGAAAAAAAAATATATATGTGTATATATGGCCTTCTTACATAGTCACATATAAATGTATCTATTTATGGGTGCATGAGTTTACACTTTAATTAAGTGTTAACCACAGACATTATTTAAACAATCTCCTTTCAAATAAGTAACTTTTTTTGTAACAGTGAAGATCATGGTTCTAATTATTGTGATTGAATTAATAACATATTTGACCAAATTCCCTGCTCATAATCAATGTCTAGTTGTCATCATCATCTATACTTCAATTTTAGTCTATTTTACCCATGTATACCCACACAACTGGTTCACCACTGCCATCTTTGTGCCCCGTGCATGGGCATCTTTCTCATCATGCTTGGTTCTGAGTCCTGTACAGGTGACCCCTATTTCCCTTAATGCTATCTCATCCTGTCCCTCTTG